ATTTTCATCCTAATGAGGGACCCACACTTCATTCATGAGGGACCTATGAACTAGATAAACCTAGCAGACAGAAACCCACTGTATTTCTGGCTTTTGTTGTTATTGCTTTTTTTTTAAAGCTAATTTATTCATTATTTTTCATAGATAAATAAAAATGAATATATTTATCATGTACAACATGATGTTTTAAAATATATATACATTATGGAATGGCTAAATTGAACTAGTTAACACATGCATTACCTCACATGCTTATCATTTTATAGTCTTAGCAATTTTCAAGCATACAATATGCTGTTATTAACTACAGTCACCGTGTTGTACAATAGACTCTTGAACTTATTTCTCCTATCTAATTGAAATTTTATAAACTTGACAAACATCTCTCTATCTCCACACCTTCACTCCAGCCCCTGGTAACTACTATTTTACTCTCCTTTGCTTTTTATGAGTTTAGCTTTTTTATAATAGCTCTTCATACTAGTGAGAACATGTGATATTTGTCTCTCTGTGTTTGGCTTAATTTGCTTAGCACAATACCTCCTGGGTTCATCCATGACGTGGCAAATTACAGGATTCCCTTATTTTTAAGGCTGAACGGATTTTCTTTATCCATTTATCCATTGCTGGACACTTAAGCTGACTCCATATCTTGGCTATTATGAATAACGCTACAATAAACATGTGAGTGCAGATATCTCTTTGACATACTGATTTAACTTTCTTTGGTTATATATTTAGTAGTGGGATGACTAGATCATAGGTAGTTCTTTTTTTTTTTTTTTTTTTTTTAATTTTTGAGAAACTACCATACTGTTTTCCATAGTGGCTGTACTAATTTAAACTCCCACTATCAGTGTACAAGGGTTCCCTTTTTTTTTTCATATCTTCCCTAACATTTATTTTTCATCTGTTTTTATAATAGCCATTCTAATGGGGGACTGGTAATACCTCATTGAGTTTCACTTCCACTTCTCTGGTAATGAGTGATGCTGAGCATTTTTTATATATATACCTGTTAACCATTTTAGGTCTTCTTTTGAGAAATGTTTACTCGTGTCCTTTGCCCATTTTAATTGGGTCATTTGTTTCCATGCTAATAGGTTGTTTGAGTTCCTTAGATATTTAGAATATTAACTTATCAGATACATGGTTGCAATTTTTTCTACCATTTTGTAGGCTATCTTTCTGTTTCAATTATTTTCCTTGCTGTTTACAGCTTTCTAATTTGACATAATCCCATTTGTCTATTTTTGCTTTTCTTTTCTATGCTTTTGGGATCTTAATCACCCCCAAAAAATCATTGCCCAGACCAGTGTTATAGAGATTGTCCCCCATGCTCATGGCTTTCAAAGGGGATTCTAGAACACTTTCTCTGCCTGCTTTTCTGTGTTTGAATACTGCCCAGGGGATACTCAGCTCCAGTTTCACAGATGAGCCTACACAAAATTCTTAGTTCAGCTAAGGAAAGTCATGCTCAACCAAGGAACAGAACAACCCGCCTTTTAAGTTAGAAGTGTTCAACGATTATTAATTTCTCTTAGTCATCTCATCTACACTAAAAAAAAAAAAAATGTCAAAGACAGAGCTAATGATTTTCCAATGTTCTAGTCACCAAAGCTTCTTGTAAATGTTTATGTTAAAAAAAAGTCACTGTGGCTAATCATCTCATTTAAAAGTCAGGTTAAATACTTGGACATTCACATGTATAGGCTGAAGTATATTGGCAAGGAATTGACACTCATAGTTCCCCAAAGATCATTTGCTTTGCTTGGCTGACTCTGCAACTCCAATAAAGTGCAGCCAGACTCCAGTAAAAGGAATAAAGTGAACACTTTTCCTCCTAGTACCTTTGCTGCCGTTTGCATTTCACCACTCGGCTTATAGAGATGAAATCTAATACTTGGCAGGCACTGCTTGTACAAATGAAAGATAAATTTTTCTTCCAGATAGGACAGATCAGCGAGACTCATAAAATATTAATGATGAAAGCTCTAGGAATTATATATATCCCTGACCATAGGTTTCTCTTGACATTGAAGAACTGTCAGTTTAATGCATTTTTTTTCTGCAAGATTCCCATCAAGAATTATGTGAAGAGAAAAGAATACATGATTTAAGATTCAAATGAGCATAGATTTGAGGGAAAGGTAATCTTTCTGTCTTTCATTTTCTTTCATGTTTTGTGTCCCGAATCAGCAATACATTTTGCTGAGTGATGTAGTGTGGTCGATTTGATTCTTGAAGCTGTTCATGTGCTCGTGAAGGAAACTGCTTTTATGAGAATAATACAGGAAGTACGAATTTCTTATTATTTAATTTAACACAATTTAGCAATAACTGACATTTATGTAATTGAAACCATTTATCTCAAAATTAGGAATTTATTGAATGTATATTCAAAAATATTTATTAATGAAGACCTTCACTTTCACTTGTCAGATTTTGTTATCATGAAAATCTTTCCATAACCATTACAATCAACAGTAATTTTTAGGTTACTATCTCTCTGGAATGTTTGGTCACTTACCATATTTTTTTAAGATAAAAATTTTGGGCCCTCTTTTTGAGGCAGCAGATAAATTATCGTTAATCTGAGATTTTTTCATTGTATATTTTATTTTATACAGAAACAAAGTTTATATTCATAAAATCTAAAAATGAGAGAAATATATAATTGTCTTATGGCAACCTGATTTATTGTATTATATTGCATATATTTAGAAATACTTATTTAGGTATCTATAATATATTTGAATATTAGAAATTTCTTGAAAATAATAAAATACTTCCATTCAATTTATAGAAAATTCTATATGAATTATATCTCCAATTGTTTTATAAACTCTGAAATATTTTATGCTAGCACAATTATTTGCAACGTGATTCAAAAGATTTTTCATCATGCTATAGAGCAGTAGTACAAAAAACTAACCATTTGAACAATAATGCCTCAGAAAAGAGACAGTCACACAAAAATGGATGCAAAATCAACTAAGTTATATCTATTATAATTTTATTCACATTGAAGACACCACTTTATTTAATATTAATAATCAGAAAAATAAAATTTTTTTCATTCATACTCTTTTTCTACCTAAATGGAACAGATTCTAATGATATTTATTTTAATTTCTGACAACAAAATATTTATCAAAAGATAATATATATGATTTAATTTAACCAGAGGAAATTATCTTTGCTTAATTACTTTTTATTTAACTGAATATCTGGTTTAATATATTTCTCTCTTCTCAGGTACATTATATTTTTCTTCAGTGTTTATGAGAAATTGTCAGCCAAATATAACCTTCATAAACTACTAATGGGATTCTAAGGTGCTGTGCCTTCAGTGTGTTAAAGTTTCTGGTTGGTGATACCCATACAAAGATAAATCAGCAACTCCATTTTGTTTATCAGTCTTTTAGAAAACTTATGAACTCGTTGTAAAAAATCAGATGCTGTTAAAATGTATTCTGAATTATATTTAAAGGCACATGGCTAGTAAGTAGAGTCAAAAGACCTAGTACAAGACTTCTTGGTCATGAACATTGTTATAATATTCCCAAAACCAGTCCTGCTTTTCCTGATTGCCTGATCATCTGATGATCACCTCTAATGTTTAGATACTCTTCATCGATGTGTAAAACATATGAGATTGAAAACATAAACTCCATAAACTAAACACCTTGCCGTGACCAAATACCCAACACTTGCCTTGAATTCAATCCATTGTTACTACAGCTTTCTGAACAGCAAATTTCTTGGGATCTACATTTGGGTCTCCTTAAGTTCTGCTTTCTTTCTGCCCCATGTCAATGACTGAAATCTGGTTTTACATCCTAGCCTCTGCCTTCTGTGCTATAGCTAATTGGCTATGAAAAGAACTTCATGTTAAAAAATGAGTTTTTGTGTCAAGAGAATCCTAAAATATCTACTACTGTTTCAAAATGTCAGTCTCAATTGCAACTATTCTTGTTGTCTGTGGAAACTACAGAAGGCAGAGGAAAAATGTGGAAATCCCTGTGGAGGTGTTGTTGACCAGAGAAGCTGACCACAGCACATTTAAGTAGGGAGAGAAATGCTAATGGAGATATCAGGAGAGCTGAAGGAATCTGTGCTTCAAGAACATATAAATGTTCACAATTGGCTCTTGTCTGAAAAGATAAATGTTTACATAGCATCAAACGTCAAAGAACAGCATAATTGGTTCTACTCAGAGGTACTTAAATAGCCCAGAGTAGCACTGAATTTTTTAAAATATAAATATATGTTTATATATAGTGGGGAAAAGTAATGTAAAATTAGAATATATTTATTTTCTCAAATTACCTTTGATTAAAGAAAATACAAATAATTTTAAAGGCATGTTCTCTTTAGAGAATTGTCTTTACTTATTTATTGTCTTATACCTGCACAGTATTTTTCTGAATGCCCTTGTTAACACAGTCTGGCAGACATTCAATAGCAAACTGTGTTCCAGGCAATGAATTTATACTGTTGCAGGAACAATCTCTTGAATGTTGTAACCCTTTATATATGATGGAAAAATCAATAACATGAATAAATGTGTAACAAACTAGCCTGTGTACTTTTTTGGTGAAGTGAAGCTCAGTAATATGGACTGAAGTACTTTCTTAAGGAAAATAACCCTATGCTTACGTGGAATATTATAAAGTATACTTATTTACTGACACAGACGTCAATAGTAATATTAAAAAGATACTTATATATGATCTTTATGTTATGTTATATATAACTCAAATATTTAATTTGATAATTTTAATACAAAGGTATGTTTATTCTTGTGATGTGTATATACAGACAAATTAATAAAATATTTAGTCTATATTTTCTATCAATTTAGAAATATTTTATAAATGTAATCATAAGGTAGGTGAAAAAATAGCAAATTATTACACAGAATACTTTTTATTTTGCTTTTAGCAGTAAGAAACCAATGGTTTGTGTTAATAATATTAGACTTTCTTTTTTTCCAGGGTATCAACAGTTTCTGTACAGCACAGATTATGACAGCTTCTTTCTTAAGGTGAGATTAGATGTCACTCATGGTAGTATTCAAAGGGGATACACTTTTTGTTAATGCATTATCAAAAACATTTCATAGGTAAGGTTATCCTGGAGTAGCTACAAATGCCTAGATTGAAAGTATTTTCTCATCAATTTTATGTACATAATTCTATTTGTTCAATAGTATTGCTTTCATGATAAACTCTAAACAATATTTCTTGAATATTTCTGAGTACAAGCCATGTAACTTTATACTTTGATTAAAACTTGGAAATGTGTTTACCATATAAGAAAATCAAGTTAGGGAACAACAACAAAACATTCTAATACAACAAATACAATTAAGGTATCTCTTTGAGAGTGCACACACTCATGCAGGTACACACACACACAGACACACATGTACAGAGGAGGATAATTAATATTTGTAACTTTCTTCTAAAATACAAGTACATTGGACATTCAATTTTCAAGAGCCCTCCAGATTCTTATGTTAATGACTAGTTTTGCTCTATCTACTTTATTATTATAAGAGTTAACAAATTTTATTATTGTATTATAAGTTAGTTATATAAAATTTATTCACACATTCACACTTTTTTCCACCATTTCTTATCAGACTTTACACCTTATCTAACTGCTAAAAGTATATACTTTATCATTTCATTTCGTAAGGAATTGTCAAGTTTTCTTTGTCTGAAAGTATTTTTATTTTACTCTTACTCTTGAAAAATAATTTCCCCAGTGTGAATCTAGATTGTCAGTGATTTTGCTTACAACACTGAAGACTTTATTATATTGCTTTCTGGATTCCATTTATTAATGAAAACTTAATTGTCTATTTAGTTGTTATACCAGTCTGGACAATTTGCATTTCTTCTTGCTACTTTTAGAGTCTTCTCTTAATCTTTAGTGATCTAAAACTGGTTGTAATATGAATTGATATTACTATGTATACTACTTTAAATTTGTTGGCCTTCTTGAGAGTAACAACAGATGTTTTCCAGCAATTCTGGAACTCCTCAGTCAGTATCTCCTTTAATGTAATCTCTTCCATTTCTTTATTTTCCATATTTCTTCCTATTTCCACATCATTTCATTATTACTTTGAATCTAAATCCAGTTCACTGATTTTATCTGCATTTCTGATATACTGTAAATTAATCTATTCATATTCTAATTTTTATTAGTATTTTTTTCAAATATTATTTTAGGTTCATGAAGCACATGTGCAGGTCTGTTACATGGGTGAACTGTGTGTCACTGTTGTTTGGTATACAAATGATCATGTTCATTCAGAAAGTAAGCATAGTACCCAATTAGTAGTTTCTCAACCCTCATTCCCTACCTCCCAACCCCACTACTCTAGTGGTCCTTGTTGTCTGTTGTTCATATCTTTGTGTCCATGTGTACTCAGTGTTTAACCCCAAATTATAACTGAAAACACAGAGTATTTGGTTTTCAATTCCTGTGTTAGTTCACTTAGGATAATGGCCTCTAGCAGCATCCATGTTGCTCAAAGGACATGATTTTGTTCTTCTTTGTGGCTACATAGTATTCCATTGGTGTTAAGAAATTCTGTTTGAGTCATTTAAAAATTTAGTCATCTTTTTTTTCTTGTTCTTATGTTCAATCCAAGCCTCTATTTTATTTGTGATTCTATTTACCCTCGGTATTGTTCATGCTCAGTTTCACTGATGGAATCTTATTTTCCATGTGTGTTTGTTTTTGCTGTTTGTTTTAACATGATTGTACACACATAAAATGTTATTTATGAAAATTCTTTGAGATGAGACTTGAAGTTCTACTGTTAAATTTTTTGCTTCTGCCAGTCACCACGGGGCAATATCAACCTAAGACAAATTTATACTAAAGGCTTCACTTTAGGTTTCTGAGCAAACAAATAGTATGAGTTCATTCACATCTCAGGTCTTTAATAAGGATTAATTTATTTTCATAAGTTCTTAGTTTTGGTTTTATTTTCTCCAGGCAGCACTAAGGAATGAATATTACTTTTCAGACCCTTTTTCCCCATAAGGTTTGTTTCTTATTTTATGAGGGAGAGCCTTTTCTATTATACTTTCCACTATGGGTAGGCCATAAGGTTTATCTCCTGCACTCTGTTCAACATGAAGCAGTCACAATGTGCTCTCAAACATTCTAAGGTTTGGTAGGAATTTTCACACAGAAAGCTGGCTTTGGTGATTACTTTACCTCTCAGGGTTTCTGCTTTTATTTTTATCTTAGTGTTTGTAGAATTTTTTCTTTCATGAAAGATGAAAGATTCTTATAATATACATATGTATGTGTGTATACATAATTTTATTTTAATTGTTTTTCATCAGTAACTACTCTTGCTAGACAGATCTAATATACAGGCCTGAAGCAGAAAACTAAATGTTTTTGATTTCTAAAGATGTTAATATTTGATTCTTTACATTTTGCAAATAGTAATGAAGAAAAAATTATAGTGATTTCTCTTTATAAATAACTGCTATGCCCAGAATGAAGAAATGTTGTAGAAAAATAGTACAGCAGTTCTTAAACATTTTGCTTTCAGAATATCAGTTTGTTAAGAATTATTAAGGGCTTCTATGAGCTTTGTTTTGGAAATTTTCTTCTATTAATATTTGCTGTGTTGGAAACTAAGATAGAAATTTAAAAATATTTTTTTCCTTTACTACTAACAGTAAACCCATTACTTGTAACAGAAATAGTATATTTTATGAAAAATAGCTACATTTTTTAAACAAAACAAAAATTACTGAGAAATATAGCACTGCTTTGTACTTTAGCTAATCTTCTTAATGCATGACTCAATAGAAAACTCGGTAGAAGACTGCAGGAGCGTCATACCTGCTTCTGTATCTACTCTGTTTTGATATTAAACATCATGCAGCCTTTGAAAAACTTCACTGTGAATGGTGACAGAATGAGAATTAAGATAAATAATATCTTAGTATCATTGTGGAAGTAGTTTTAATATTGCAGCTCTGGAAAATTGCTTGAGACCCCCAGGAGAACATTTTGTCATATGAATCTATAGGTTGCCTGTGTAATTCTATTGAACCTGATAATTCAATCTGGGCTGGACTTGACTCATCTCACACGGTTTACTAATGTGTTTCTAGTCAGTTAATGGGTGGTCTAGAGGCTGGCTGCTCTACAATGATCTAGGCTAAAATGATTAGGACCTCACTCCATATGAACTCTACCTCTACCAAACATGCTTTGGTCTGTTCCCATGGCAGTTAGGAAAGGGTTCCACAAGGAAGAGTTGAAGTATGAAATGATTCCTGAGTCCTAGGCTTAAAATTGTAGGCTATCAATTCCACTGCATTCTTTTGGTGCAAACATATGAAAAAGTCAGTTTAAAGTCATGTGTGGGGAACAGGTTTCACCTCTTGAGAAGAGAAGTTACAAAGTAATACCAGAAATGTGGTACATAGAGAGGCATGAATAATATGAGGCATTTTGTCAATCAATCTTCCACATCTTAGATTCTCAACACAAAAACAAGATAAAAAGTTTTCTTTTGTCATCTTCAAATGATTTAACTCCACTGTGGATACTATAGAAATCTGTAGGGACATGTTAAGAAGTAATACTGCTGTCACCTAAAATTCATTAGTTTTACTATACACTGTAAATGCTCAGGTATAACCATAACCTGGGATATACCAGGCCCTGAGAGACAGGATCACACTAATAAAATGCATGATACATTGATACTGATGACAATATTAACATTACTATTTTTAACTCATAATAAAAAACATAAATATTACTTGAGATGGAATTTTGTGTGGGCATAATCAGCAAAATCTCTCACTATAGTCAAGTAACACCAAGCATGTTATGAATATGCTGTCATTAATTAACTTTTCCAGAGACCAGAAAGAGACAAAATACATATTTTGGGCACATTTCTTATTTATGCATATACAAATATAGAAATCAGATTGTTGTTATTCTCTGATTATCAAAAGAGACAATGGGATATTAGATACATAAAAATTTAGTAACATCAAGCTAACAAAGCTGTATCTAATTATAAAAATTTTGGGGTTTTATTGTTGTGTTTTCTTTTTCTAACAGAATGGAAAATGCTTAACACATGTATACTATATTTCTCTCCACCTCAAAGATAATCATACAATTAAGAGAAGAATTGTATAGCATGGCTCCCTTTCTTCTGGATCAGATGTTTCATATTCCTCAAATGTCTAGAGTCATGCAGGTAATGTAAATAAATCACATAGTCCAGCAGTAAAATGTCAAGGACTTGTGGAGAGAGGAGTGTAGACAACTAGGATAAGCCTTCCCGATATAAACAGTATTAGCTGTTACTTAGGTCCAGCCAATCACTGCATTTTAGGAATGAAAATCCATTATTACTATATGTTTTCATTTTAAAAACAAAAGAAGGTTGCCTCAGCAAGATGTCTGACTAGACACAGCCAGGAGGAACATCTGCTACCAAGTGACTAGGCCATAGGGAAAACTGGCACACTATGAGCAGATCTTCAGAGGGAAGGCATTGAGGGTGGACAGAGGGAGGACACACCCTGGGCTGAAGGAGGAGGAGGCTAGGAGCCCTGAATGGGGCTACCATGCAACACAACTCATTCCCGGCCCCCAACAACTCCTAGGAAAGGGGTGAGTTGAACAGGTGAGGAGCAAGCTGCCCTCAGCATGGACCTCTGGAATCCTGGCAATCAGAGATACTAAAACACCCATGGACACTTGAGCTTGAAGGGAGAGCTGTGTAGAGAGTTGATAGGAGCAGGACTCCAGCGTGTGCTGAACTTGAACTTAGGGAGTATGGTGTGGGAAAGTCTGCAGTAAAACACAACTAGGTCTGTTCCAGCCTGGCAGAGTCCACTTGCAATGCAGTGATAGACAGTCAACCAAGGTGCCTCCCAGGGACCCACATCATAGCCCCTGTAACAGCAGACTATGCCTGACCATCAGAGAGCTACAGCAGAGTGACCTCTGCTACCATGTACCAGCTCACCT